ACAACAAAAAAGAAAAAAAAATACAAAACAACATTGTTGAACAACGATGATTATTTTTTTTTTCTTCTTTTATCCTACCATTCAAAAAAAAACATTTTTAATGGATTACTATAATTGATCAATAAGACGAAAAGATGCTTGACGTCGTGGTGGTAAAATATGTATAAAATTTCGTTTAACATCATTTCCACTATTAACATAACGAAATAATGGACTATGTGGATATGGTTTTACAGATTCAGTTGTTATTACAACAAATCCTGGTACTGTTGATCGAATTGTATAATCATAAGCGACAGATGTCTAATCAATATAAAAGTATAATAATAATTTTTAAAAGAAGTTTTTTTTTTATTTATTTTATTTACGTTTTCGCCAGGATATAAAATAAGATTGTTCTGTAAAGTAAGAACAGTATCTTTTTCAACCCATTGTCCATCTTGTACTTTGATAGTACGATGTTTCGGTAGAAGTAAATTTGGTTTAAATACTTTTGCCGTACGTATTGAATGTTGAAGAACTACAAGATTAAAATAAATCAAAATTTATATATATTGAAATATACAATTTATTTACTTGATTGAATAGTACATAAATCGGTAAATGTCTTAAGAGCAAACATCTAAAAAAAAAAAGAATAAGAATAGGTTGAACAAGAGCACAACATTTAATTGATATTTGGCATATCGCTATCGTATGCACACATTCGCGTTGATTGCTGAATTGTGCTATCAGCAACCTTGTTACAACCTGCAATGACCTTCTAAATCAAGGACGCTTCCGAGTTGAACATCCCTCTTTTTCATTCTATTAATATATATATATATATATACGTATATTAGTAAAAGAAAAAAAATGGAATAGATCCATTTATGTTCATAGTAATCAACTACGTATGTATAAATGTGAGGTAGGTCTTCTCTTTCTTTTTTTTCTATTGCAATCGCCTTGAACAAATAGACAGTCGACTGCTGGTAACGTTGTTTCGTTGAATGTTATTAACCTTGGAGTAGAAACATTTGTCCGACTCTTGGTCCTCTACATAAATCGTTCGTATAATGCACTGTGCGTTCAATTATGTTCAAATATTTCTTTAACATTCATAGAAAAAAATAATAAAAAAAATCAAGTAAATTTCATGAAATAAATATTATTTATTTCAATTTCTATAAATAATTAGGTTGATAAACTATGTACAAATCATTCAATGATAAGAATAGATGCTCAATAGTTCAATTTTGACGACGAATGTAGCGCTTCTCATCATCAATGATTGGATATTTAATTTTATCCAATAAAAAATAAATCTTGTTTTCTTTTTTCCAAAAGAATAATTTTATCCATTTTTGACATCTAAAAAATGGCAGATGAAATAAGTCTCGATCGACAATTTTTCAAAAAAAAATACATATCGAAATCATCAATTTATTTTTAATGATTTTGTTTATCTACAACATATGAAAACAAACTATCTTGTTTACAAATTTGTTTATTTATTTTTTATTAAAATTAACCACATAGGGAATAATAAATCAAAAGATTATGATGCGCTTAAAAAGACTATTTTCCTACTTAAAAAATGTCGTTTTACAATATGATAATTTTATTCAAAAGACAAAATGACATTTTGTTTAAATTAATTTTTAGAAAAAAGATATTTCAGCTTATTGAAACAGTCAAACAAGTATAGTAGATAGAATCTATTGAGAGTAAGAACACAAACGTAGAATATAAATCTTCGAGATGTTCCATGGATTCTCGAAAAGATGAAATACAAATATATGTAAATTTTAAATTTTAAAGGAAACAACATATAGAACAGATCGACAATGTCGAAGGGTTTTAGTAAGCTTTACCCAACTGGACTTCTCAATCGAACTAATTCATTGTGAAAGTGTCAGGCTTTCGAGTATCTTCTATCCTGAGATCTAAATATCAGCACAAAGTTTGCTTTTTCGTATAAATTTATTTTTGACGACTGAACAATTCGTCGCGAGTGTGTGGATATCAGTGTGAATGCGGATCTTTTGTGCACCTTTGAACCTTTCTCAGGATATTTTAAAAATAATATATATGTCATGCGACGAATTGTTCTAGAACCATATTTTCATCGCGAACTAATCTCGATGGGAACTTTTATTGCACAAAATTTGAACTTGAAAGTTGATCTTGAATATGATCACGACATTTGATTGTAAAACTAATTAGAATGGGTATAACTCCATATGGCCTATCTAATGAGGTAAGATTAGAGATGTGCCGGATCAATTTTAGTCCTGATGGCGGCCGCCAGCACCGCGGAAAAGAGAAGTTGTCCCAACCCGAAGTAAAGATTATAATTACATATTCTATCATTTTAAGCAAATTGCCTTATAAATCATATCAATGAGAATATAATTCAAGAGACAGATGACCCAAAAAAATGTTAGCTATCGACTAAATAAATTCTAGAATAGTTTTCTTTAGACCGACACCAAGACCGAAGAACTTGATATTGCACATCTTTACGTAAAACTTATATCAAAAGGAATTTATCTCCATAAGTAGTCATTTGTTTTCGTAATACATATACTATTACTTCGATAATTGTAAAATTATTTTTAATTATGAATTTATATTATTAATGGAAAGAAAATATTTCTTTCCAATTTATTTTTCACTCGATAAACGTTCAACAGAAGATGCTCATTTAGATATAGCAAAGACTGCACTGTTAAAGGATAATGATATGTAACAACTAAAATGTAAAAAGAAATAACAGGTAATAAATTTGAAGTAATGAAACATTAAAGAATATGGACAATTGTCTTACAAACTATACATAAAACAAATTCTTCTATTTGTTTGAAACACATAAGAGTTACTAGCTGCACAACGATTACCTATCAATGATGTGTCTGTTCTCCGTACCAGTAGAGATTTATGATATAATCAAGAAAATTTTGTTCTAAAAAATGAATTCCGAATTTGAAAATGATTCATATGGTTCATGTCATGATTTAACATCAAAAACTATAACTGAAAGAGCCACACTAAATCAACTAACTCGAATTTCACGTATACCAATTATCATTATTTCAGTAACATTGACTTTATCGATGACGGGATTAATTTCTAAAGAATTACTGAAAGTTATGAAGTACATTTGGAAAAAAAGGAACACTGACAGGTCTGATGGTTTCATTTGATAACAATCAACTTCATCTTATCGTTATATAGAAGATTGAATCTTGTATAATTTTGTTATTCAACTTTTTAATATAGCTTATTGGACATGACTTTCAAGGAGAACATACAATGAGACTATTTTAAGTGTTTAAAAGTTATTTATTTGTTTGTTTGTTATCGTGCACTAGATACATATTAGCAGAAGAAGAAAAAAGCAAGTAGTACAAAATTTGATGATGGTATATTAATTCAAGATAAAAAAAATGGCAATTCGATAGTATTCTATCGAATGACTGATGATACTTTTCCATTCACAAAACAAGATTGGTTTTAGAAATATTTTACCAAATAAAATATTCATAAAGACTTTCTTTTTCATTGGATGAACGTGTAGTAGCTATATTTGCAAAAACTAGCCATAGGGAAGCAATCCGATTGAGATTTTCCAGCAAAGTAAACTTTTAATTTTAATAATCTAAAAAAAAGTTAATCTTTCTTTTTTATAATTCGAACCATATCATGTAAAATTAATTGAATTCGATTCAAATAAATGTCATCTTGGTTAATCTCGTGTTTGAGCATTTTGAAATTCACTTGATTAGTATCTTTAATGTGCAGTATTCATTAAAGATTTTTATTTTCTTTTATTTATATTTATGGCGAAATATAAACTATGTTTGATGTAATAATTGAAGATTTCATCATTAATCAGTAAAAGTCGAACTCATGTTTCAAATTTTTTTTTTTTATATGATTTAATTAGTAAATCATTTTACTCCGTCTGTAGTAATTTAAGTAACTGTGAAAATATTTCTTTTATGTGAAAAATATTTGACATGCAATTAAAACAACATTTCTCTTTGTGAGAGGATTTTCAATCAACTCTAATACATTGTTCTATTTACTATTCAACAATGATGAACATGTCAGATCTGACAATCATTAATAAATTAATATTGTTTAGTGTTTTAAATAATACATGTCAAACATTCAAATAGATTTTGGAATAAAATTATGAGTTTTTTTTTAATCAAAAATCAAATCTCATGATAAGACCTGATGAAGGCTTTGAGTGTGGACGTTTGTCTGCTATTGACTTACAAAGAGAATAGAAAAAGGAACATAGACTAACAGTACGATTCATCGAGTTCAAACTTTTAGGGGGCGGATCCTATTTATAAAGCGTGTTACAGACTAAGACCTCGAGATTGAAAACGTTAGGGTTTTTCTCTTATCGGTACCAACATCGATCTAAACGGTTAGGTTGAACCGAATTGATCGGTAGATCGTTCTGCAAGTATGGTCTTCGACGACGTCACTTTCTGCAATGTGGTCATGGGTGATGGTTTTTTTCGGTGAGGTGGTATACCAATTGTTAAGCTAAACTGCCCAGGTTGAGTTAGGAATTAACTTAAGTTAGAAACTGAACATCAAAGGAAGTGAATAATTCTTTTTCTTTTTGAGAGTGAGAATAGAGAAGAAGAGACGGCATGAGAATACATAGGACTAAAAGAATGTTAGAAACCTTGTTAGAGAGATGGGGTGAGTTAGTCCCTGTGAGATCCCTCTTTTAAATGCAGACCTTCTAGGTTGGCTCAAAAGTTCGGTCATGAATAATCTTGGTGTTCTGTTGCACACGACTGGGCTTTCACCAAACTCTTTGACACATCTCATATAGATGATTTGTATCTGTCCCGTACGTGCATGAGCTTTACGCTCGTCACGACTTCACCAGATGGTTCCTGGTCGCGCATGAGAATCGAAAAGCCATTCCTTTCATCAATTTAATGCAATTTATTTGAACGAAAGAAAGAAAACCCATCACAATAAGTTTATTCGATAGAAAATTGTTGAATACGATGGTTATATTCATCGACGACATAAAGATTGCCATGTCTATCGAAGGACAAACCCATGGAAACTTTGAACTGATTAGCTCCTGCTCCTTGACCATTTCCACCTACAATGACAGCGCCCTGTGTCGCTCCTTTAGGCCAACGCATTACTCGATTATTGTCCGAGTCTGCAACATAGATGGTGCCAAACATATCAACGAACAGTCCGTAAGGTTCCGACAATTGTGTCAGAGCCTTTCCTTCGCCATGGCCTCCAGCGACGACAGTTCCTTCTGTTGCATCTTTATTCCATTTCATCACACGATGATTTTTGCTGTCTGACACGTAAACAGCTTGTTGTTGATCGACAAATATGTATTTCGGCCAGTTGAGTTGATTGAGATCAGCACCTTGGCCATGGCCACCGACCACGAGAGTTCCTTCCTTGTCTCCTATTTGATATCGTCTTACTTCATCTTTTTCGGTGTCAGAGATGTAGAGATATTTCTGAACATCCATGGCTAATCCCCAACACCTGATGTTGTCGACGAGAATCTCTCCTTGAGTTGTACCACTACGACGAGACCAACGTACGACTCGTCGATTCTGCCAATCACAAATAATGAGACTATCAGTCTCTTTGTCGATCAATACATCGGTTGGAGAATGCAATTGTTCCAATCGGTTTCCTTGGCCATGGCCACCAGCTACTACTTGCCCATTCGTCTCACCGATCTTCCATTGGATGATACGATGGTTGTGTGCATCAGTGATGACCATCGTTTGATCATCATCATCAACCAAAAGATCGAAAGGCCAGCTGAGTTGATTGGTGGCACTACCTTGGTCACGACCTCCGGCAACGGTTATCCCGTTCTGTGCCCATGTAGCATTGACTGAAATATTGGGAATCACTAGAATGAACGAAAAAGAAAAGAAATCATTATTATCGAAGAGATCTCCTCTCTCTTGTGGGAGAAAATGATAGAAATGAGGCATTCTTCTTCGAAGAGAACTTGGTAGAACTTTCGAGAATGCCCTTCTCTCACAGACTCTACACAAGAAAAGATTCTCAAAGCAGATAAAAATTGGAAATTTCTTTTCTAGTTTCCTATTAAAAAAATGAGTTAAGATTGTTTGAATTCAGACAGAAAAATAAGGGAGAAGATCTTTAGAATACAGTGCAATTTTATAGCATCTGAAGGCAAATGTTTTATCAAATTGAAATAATGTATCTTTAGTTGAAAGGCAACATATATAGTGGTATCAAACAATGAGGAAGAATGGATTTCCTTTTGTAGATTTCATCAAAACGAAGTAAAATTGAATAGTGACGAAAAATAATCAACTTGGGATTACTATTGATTGATTTTTTTTCTTATGATAAAGATTTAATCACTCATAATATAAGATCGCTGATCTTATCAATGTTACCTTTAACTAGCTTCAGAGTAATATTGCATACAAAGGAACTATATATGCTTGAGTAAAAATTAGCATTTGTCAAGGTCAACAAGCATTAATTTAATGCTTACCTAGTTGCTGAGTAGTTGTTGTAGTTGTCGTTTTAGTTGGAATTGTAGTTGCAGTTGTAGTATTCGTTGCTATTCATTATCAAAGAATATTTATGTAAACAAAGCAGTTAGTTTTAGATCTGGCATAGAATATAGTATAGAACTCGGTACACTTAACTTTTAGGTGACGTCTAAGCAGTGTTGCACAGTAGATCGAAGGTCTCAAATGATCTCATAATCAATTTTTTTCTTTCAAAACTGTTTTTTTAATGGAAAACCTCTGTATCTATCTGCGACCGAAAACTCCGTAAAATTTTTGACAATTCGATTCGCTGTGATTCGGTTGAATTAAATCAAATCGAATCGAATTGAACTGAATCTATCGAGACCGTCTTGCTCAAATTCGTCACTTCTGTTGTATTTTAAATGTAAGCAAGGATTGAAATGCACTGGCTGTCATTGCAGTACAAAATCGTTGTTCGAAGTGTGACGTTTCTAATTTCAACCTCTCACATAAAGTGTTCACCTGCCAGTGAGTTTATCTCAGATCATTAGAATATTCTAGCATCACGGCAGCAGTGTGAATGAAATGAGTGTGCAGGGGTATTTGAATCTTTTTCGTTCCTCTCGTCGTCAGACAGTTTTGAATTTTGACATTCTGTTCTTAAGAAAGGAATCTCAAATGTTTGATACACGCAGACATAGTCTTCAAAAGAAGTAGTCGTTTCAAAGATGGACTGGTTAGATGCATTCTGCGCTTATTATTGTCTGACTGAGACGACTGAATCAGTGGTGCTACAATCAGTGGCATATTCATTCAATTGAATGGCTAAAGCCCTCTTAAGCTCTAGCGGTTACTGTGTCACAGCCAAATAATCAGTCATCAATTTCTCAAGGTTAATCATTAAAAACGTGGAAGAGAGAATTATAAATGAGTTTTCTATCGAGCTAGATGTCGATTGCAGTTGTTTTCAAAAAAAAAGCTGTCGAGTGAACTCAATATTCATTAAACTCAGTCATGTATACAACGCAAACTATAAATAAAGAGAAACGTGGCATAATAAAAGTGCTGTACTCTTATGGAGATCTAAACATTTTTCCAATAATTACAATTCATTTTGTCTCTAACATACTTTATCTACTTTTTCAAAGGCTCTTCGATTCTTCCTCACTGCTCCTACATTAACATGAACTGTATATGTAAGGGTGTGTGAAAGATGAAGAAATAACTTTAAGAAAGTTTCGTTTTCCACTTGAATATGTAGATCATTGTTTGTTCTCTTACTTGCTATTGGTGGACAGAGTTGTCGATTGAAACTGGGTACCGGATAACAAACAGGAAGATCATGACATCGAGGATGATGAACACATCTATGATTAGGTTCAAGACAAAGATTGTTTGAACCTTCGCATGGAACTAGTTCAGAACAATCTGCGAATTCATAGCCACAAACGCCAATGCCAATAGCACCTGCTATATAGAAACAGGTACACGCACTATTCGGCGAACATCGATCATATTGAGACATTCCATGGCAGAATTGAGATTTTACTCGAACTAGTAATATACTAAATTAATAGCAGGACATATAAAACGATACAAAAATCAAACCTGTAAGACTTAAAAGAAACATTGTTCAACATTAGATAAATCGAAAAAAAAGAGATTTTAGAATTACCTGAATAGAACGAATACGAAACAACGAACTACTGTTGAAACCATCGCTTGCGTTGAAATGAGACCGAATAGCGGCGGTACCCATCTTTATATCTAATGCAGAGACAATGTTTTTTTACATTTGCCGAAAGTGAAGAAGCGTACTTCGTGATTTTTGTTAAATAGAAATTTGATATTGCTCCAATGCTTACTTAAATACTTAATTTCTCTCCGAAAAAGTAATCTTTATAGAAGAAAAAAGCGTCGTAAAAGCAATATAGGATTGCTTCTACGATATAAGCATTTAATAGGCTCGTGCCATCATTCGAAATATGAATATTGTTATTTTCAATCATCGACTCACTATGTAATGACGACTTAGAAGGATTTTCAGGAGAGATTTTGTTTTTGATATTTGTATTTTTATTATACACAGCTTGCAGATGTTCGCATCTTGATTAAATCAAAGTCTCAGTCTATAGTCAGCCACATTCAGGATGTGAGGCATGTTAGGAGTAGAGCAATAGTCACACTCATACTGACACCGACACACATACACACTCTAGCATCTTCCAAGTCGCCATAGAAGGCTTTGATGTCGCCCTCTGATGCATCGGATATTGGAGTATATACATTGATTATTGTTATATTGAAAGGTGTCGCATTGGATCTTGCAGTGATTAACCTTGAGTTAATTGAATTATAACCCATAAGTGACGTTCTTGCTTTTGTATGGAGTAGCATTCCAACACTTTTAGTGTGTATTGTCTTCTCTTGACCGGATGAAGTCGCCGTTTGATGTTTCACCTTTTCCTGTCCAACGTACTTCTGAGATGCCGATAACATCGTATTTGTATCGCTTCATTCCGTTTCTTAATAGTTCTAGTTTTCCAACAGCTCATAGTGTTCGAACATTCCAAGTACCAGCAGTAAAAATGTCTTTTGTCATCTTCAGTCTTTGTAAGCCACATTTAGTCGCTGTTGTTGTGATTTTTGCTTGTACTGGAGTTCTATTTATCGTTGTTGATGGTGCCAATGTGCTCTTCGTTATTCTGTTGTGTGTTTTGTTATTGTTATTCCTGTATGGATGGTTGTTCCCATAGCCAATTTTTTGATTCTGTCCTGGTTCTATGACAAAGAACGCGGACCTTGTTCACCCGGGCGACGTCCGAGCCGGTATGGTTTTCGATATCGATCGTTTATGGTTGGTTTCTTTCTTCTTTTTCTTTTTACAGACGGCGGTATCTGCACCCCTTCCGTCTAACGCTCATCCTTTTCCTGGGCTTGCGACCGGCACAAAAATCACCGGATTGTGATCTCCATGGTGGAGTTTCAATTAAGTATAGTAAGTAAAAACTTTACATCAATCTCTAAAATGTTTATTATGTTCATTTATTATGAGAAATTTTGTAATTAATGAATTTTTTCATAATATCATCTACTTAGATTTTTGTGCATCAACAAGATCTATCTACATCAAGAAACAGAAAGTTCACTTGTCTCTTTTTCTAGTGACTGAAAATCTTTGGTTGTTGGTAATCATTGAAAGTAAAAATAATTATATATCATCATTTTTATGTATTTTATGAAAAGAAAAAAATCAAACTTTACCATTAGTATTTAGTCATCATATGATGATTCAATTCTAGATGTCATGTATTATTAAATAATAATTATAATAAATATACAGAAACAAAATGATCTTTTCTCGGATTGGTTTATTTGTTGGTAACTTACATAATGCCAATGAATTCATCGATCATTAAGCAATGTTTTTACTTGCTTATACTACGAAAAGAATCTCTGTAATAACTTTACTATAGATATTTAAAAAAAAAACAAGAATGAAAGATCCCCTTTATCCTTCTGACCTCCCCATGTTAAAATCTCATGTATAAAAAAACTTAAATTATTCTCATTTATAAATAGATTGCTTTTTTTAAAATTAGGCTTCATTAATTCATACATTTGAATTAAAAAAAACAAATGTAGTATTAATAATTTATCAAATCAAAATAATGATTAAAACAGTATCAAATTGTTTTTATTTTTAATATAGTTTTTTTGTGTTGATGAAATAGCTTATGGAAAGTCTTCATTACTTGATAGTTTATTTAATAAATGATTAGATTTAAAATGATCAACACATGATATATCATATGTATTTTTAACATAAAATTCATTAAATATTAACTATTGTTGAAACAAAAGGTTTTGATGATCAAATAAGTAAAGATGATTTATTTAAAATTATTGAAGATTTTATTAATATACAATTTTAATTATATTCAGATGAAGAACTTAAAATGAAATGAGATTTTTCTAATTATTATAAAAAAAAACATACTCATGTTTGTTTATATTTTATTAATATCATACATAATTTATTAAAAACATTTGATTTAGTTGCAATGCCACATTTAAATAGTAAAGTTAATGTAATATGAATTACAGTTAAATCTCATACAATATCACAAAGTGAAATATAACGTTTTAAACAAAATATATTTAATAAATTTAATAAAGCTGGTGTTAAAATTTATTGTTTTCCAACTGATGATGAAACATTAGCAGAATGGTGGATGTGGGTGCGAGTGTGAATGTGTATCGATCTTCTCTTCACCCACATCCACACCCTTTTCTCGAATTATTTAACGAATAAGAAAGTGAAGCAAAACGAGATTCATGATTATGTTTCAGCGCTATGAATCTACAAGAATCCAAAGGATATGATTATGCAAAATAGATAAAGGAGGCGATTTTAAATAGGATTTCTTATTTATAAAACTTACACACATTTTCGATGATTAATGTAAAAAAGTTATTCAATGATTGTTATCTTTTAATTAGAGAAAAAATAAAAATGATTTGATAAGGTAAAAGAAAGTGTTTTATATGGAAGTAAAAGTTCGATAAGGACAGAGAACGAAAAAAACAAACAGTAGAAAATAAAAATGAAAATGATTTTTTCTGTTCTTGAAAACAACGATGCACAAGGTGAGTTTTTTTATTTTGTTAAAAGTACAAAATAAAATGAAGTTTGAAGATTTGGCGAATGAATTATTTCTTGATATATTCGAATTATTAGATGGTGTTGATCTTCTTCATGCTTTTCATAATCTCAATTATCGTGTTAATAGGCTTCTTCTCATTCATTTTCGATTTTATCATCTCGATTTTCGATCTCTATCAAAAAATCGTTTTGACATCATTACTGAAAATTATCTTCGGTTGATTTCTGATAAAATTTTATCGATACATCTTTCAAATGATGATGAAACACCAGATTTACCATATTTATTTGTTTCTCGTGGTTATACACTGAATAAATTCATTAATTTACAATCTCTTTCACTTTATTATATCGATTGTTTTGATATATTAAATGAAATAATAGTTCAATGCAATCATCTGACATATTTAACTGATTTAAAACTGATCAAATGTTATTTTAATAGTGAAGAAAATGATTTTCATTGTTTGATAAATAATATTTGGAATTTACCAAAACTTAGAAAATGTTTATTAGATCAAATTAATTCGAGAAAAATCCGACTAAATGAACTGACGATGACGTCATCATCAATTGAAGAGTTATCTTTGGAAAGAATGATTTGTAGTTTAAAAGATTTGTCTAATTTGTTTGAACATAGTCCATGTCTTGGACGATTGACCGTAAATAGTATATCGTGTTCTAAATTTGAACAATTGGAAATTGTTATTCGATCATTAACTTCATTAAAAACTTTCTTTGATAGTTCAATAGATTCAATGATAAGTCTTTTTAAAAAGCTTCCTAATTTGAGTCATTTAACATTGGAAACAGTGAAAATAAATTGTAATGGATGTCAATGGAAACAAATACTTGTCAATTATCTAGGAAATCTAAAAGTGTTTCGATTAAAAATGAATTTAAATTTTTCTCCTCATAGGAATATTGAAAAACAAGTTAATGAATTAATCGATTCATTTCGAAGTTCATTTTGGATTGAAGAACATCAATGGTTTGTTCGATGTGATTGGAATCCATTTAATATTACTAATCATGCTATTCTCTATACTTTACCTTATAGATTTGATAAATGTTTTAATTTTGATTCAATCTTTACTAAATCGACTTCTCCAAACGATAAACATTATTGGTCATATGATCGTGTACAAACACTTTCTTATGAGAATTCCGAAAATGATTTATCAAAAGATTCGATTTTGTTTTCTGCTCGTTTTCCAAATCTACATCATCTTAAAATGAGTTTTCCATTTCAATTAGATTTTAATTCATGTATTTCATCATTAAATCGATTAATATCTCTCAATGCGACATTACGACATACTGATTCGACATTTATTCAATTACAAGATTTATTTTATCGATCAATTCATCTTTATTCGTTTCGATTATCTTATATAAAACATATTCCAATGGAATTATTTCGTATGAAAAGTCGATCGATTCATCGACTAGATTTTTTAACAAAATTCAAGTCAAATATTCGATATTT